AGTTCTGAGTCCTTAGATTAATCTGCCTGTAATTCACAATCAATCTGTTCTAATAAACATTAGAGAAGTCTAGAAAGTAAAGAGTATACTTTGTTTACAGAAAGTCAGAGTACTAAATTAAGGACTGCCTGTAGAAGTAACAATACATCTGTCAGGTTATTAGAGTAATAATGAGTAATGAGCAGGATTTGTAGTAAGAAGCCTTTTCTACAAATCCAGAAGTCACTTTAGAACTTCTAGACCCTAACTATATACTCTAGGATTTTGTAGAGGCCTAACAGTGAATGTAGTACTAAAGAGCTATGACTCAGATTTTTTAATAACCACTTTTGATTTAATAGACACTATAGGATTAGAAGTAAATAAAGTAGAAAAAGCAGAAAAAGTAGAAAAATTAAATCAACAAAATTATTTATTAGAAAGAAAAAAGTCAAAAACAAAAGTAGATAGTTCTCCTATTTCTTCTGATTCTTTTGATTCTTCTCTTTACACTTTATCCAAGTCTAAATCTATACAATCTAACCTACTACTTTTGTGTTCTAAGATTCTAGAATGTTTAGAACACTACTCAGCCCTATTTACTACTCAGTAGTTTGTCTATAGTATTAAGTAGGGATAGCCTTAGCTGAGTTTACAGCTGAGAACATAAGTCTGTCCTTGTTGAAAGAGAGAGGTTAATAAGGAAATGTTAGTATATATACTTACCCTCTTAGATAATAAGACTGTACAAGCTGTATGTTCTCTTCAGAACAAGTAGCAGTTTATCTGAGAACATTCTAGACACTAGCTCTAGGTCCCTGTCCTCTTAGCTCCCTTCTCAGGATCCTCCCAGATTCAAACAATAACTCTAGTAGATAGTAAATACATTAGTTTATATATTAATAAGGCTTTTGTGTAGGAACACTACCTCCCTACTTAATGTGTTCTACTTCCAATCCTAGTATACAATACAGACAGAACCCTGAACCAGAATAGTCAGATTACTAAGTTTGTCCAACTACAGATGACTATTCAGGATTATAAGGAAAGTATTGAGTTCAGAGTCACTAACCTTAGAAAGACAGATGTCTTCATTAGATTCAAATGGCTCAAGGCTCACAACCCTATTATTGACTAGTTAGAGTAGACACTTACATTCAATTAGTGTCCTGAGTCTTGTAGCTACCTTATACTACTGTTCTGAGTAGATACAGACACTTCTAATGTTACTAACAATTCTAATGAAGGTGACTAGTTGTTCTTCTTTAACTAGGATAAATATGTGGATACATATTCTAGTTAAGACAGAATAGAGTCAATCTAAAGAATGTCTAAGACAGAACCAGTCTAGAACCCTCTCAGAACAACTCTACTCTGAAACACACATAGACTCAGCCTGCCAGATTTTGTCTAAGAGTTCTCTAAAGTCTTTAGTGAAGAGGAATTTGACTAGCTTTCTAAACACTGTCTCTGAGACTATACAATTGAATTAACTAAGGGTTTCCAACCTAAGGATTATAAGGTCTACCTACTTAATAGAGACAAGTAGGAGGTGCTTAACAAGTTCCTTCAGGAAAATCTTCAGAACAGTTAGATTCAACCCTTAAAGTCTCTTATAGTCTCCTCTTTCTTCTTTGTCAAAAAGAAAGATAGGAAGCTTTACTTAGTCTAGGATTATTGTTGTCTTAATAAGAGTACTGTCAAAAATAAGTACCTACTCCCTCTGATTCAGGAGCTCATTAATAAGATGTATACATTCAGAGTTTTTACTAAGTTAGACATTTAATAAGGATACAATAATATTTGGATCTAAGACAGAGATGAGTAGAAGACTGTGTTCTAAACTAATCACAGATTGTACAAACTAACTGTAATGTTCTTTAGACTAACTAACTTGTCTACAACATTCTAGTCATTCATGAATCACATTCTTACAGATCTGATTGACTCAGAGCATGTTAGTGTGTATCTGGATAACATTCTGATCTTTACTCAGACAGTTAAGCACTATTACTAACTAATCCAAACAGT